ACTTGCCTATTTATATAGTAAAGAAATTAATTTACTTTTCTTTCTTTCCTTGATCCTTTCTGCCTCTCCCCTACCTCCCAAATCATCATCATCTTCTTCTTTTTTTTTGAGACACAGTCTTGCTCTGTCACTCACATTGAAGTACAGTGGCACGATCACAGCTCACTGCAGCCTTCACCTCCTGGGCTTAAGCAATCATCTTACCTCAGCCTCCCAAACAGCTGGGACCACAGGCGTGCACCAACACTCCTGGGTAATTAAATATTATTTTGTTATTAATGGAGTCTCCCTATGTTGCCTAGGCTGCTCTTGAACTCCTGGGCTCAACCAATCCTTGGCCTCCCAAAGGGCTGGGATTAAAGGTGTTAGCCACTGTGCCTGGCACCAAACTTTCTTGACATCTAACTACATTGTAAAATCTGTAGAGTGCAGGTCTACTTAAGAGCCTGAGTTCTAACACCAGACTACCTTGGTGTGAATCCCAGGTTGCCCCAACTTGTTAACTGGGCTATCCTCCGTAAGGTACTTAAACTCCTTGTTCTATAGTTTTCACTTCTGTTAAAAAAGAAAAATGCACAGAATCTACCTTACGGGCTCATGGTATGAATTATTTATAAAGTCCTTCCTGATAATAATAGCTAGTTATTATTATTATTAATGTTTATAATAGCTAGTTATTAATATTAATAATTATTAACTAGCTATTAACATAAATCTTCACCTCATCTCACAGATAATCAGTATCTTCTTTTTCTTAATTCAACAAAACCACAGTCTGTAGATACTGCATATTTATTTTGAGAAGTCTTTTGTTCAAGCGATTCTTCTGCCTCAGCCTCCCGAGTAGTTGGGATTACAGGCATCTGCCACCATGCCTGGCTAATTTTTGTATTTTCAGTAGAGACAGGGTTTCACCATCTTGGCCAGGCTATTCTTGAACGCCTGACTTCATGATCCGTAGCCTCCCAAAGCGCTGAGATTACAGGCGTGAGCCACCATGCCTGGCCTTGAGAAGTTTTAAGGGAGTGTGGCTGGTCTAACAGGTTCTTTTCTTTTCCTTTCTTTTTTTTGGAAATGGAATCTCACTCTGTCACCCAGACTGGAGTAAAGTGGCATGATGTTGGCTTGCTGCAACCTCCACCTCCAGGTTCAAGCAATTCTCATGCCTCAGCCTCCCAAATAACTGGGATTACAGGTGCCTACCACCATGCACAGCTAAGTTTTGAATTTTTAGTAGAGAAGGGGTTTCACCATGTTGGCCAGGCTGGTCTCGAACTCCTGAACTCAAGTGATTCACCCACCTCAACCTCCCAAATTGCTGGGATTACAGATGTTAGCCACCACACCAGGCCTGGTCTAACAGGTTCTTGCAGCACATCTCAGGAAAGTGGCCCCTGTGGTTCAGTTCAGCTCTGGCAGAACATGCTGAAGTTTGACACTGGACTCAGGTATACCTATCGGCCTTGAGCTCCAGGCCAGCCTGGGGCCCCCCAGGGCCACCCTAGGGATTGCAGTTCCACAGAGCATGGTGCAGATCTGACGCGGCCCCATCCACTCTCTGCCACTAAAATTATGCCCTGAATGCTCTGCTTCAAAAGCACGGCACTTCCCTGGGCTAGTCCTGCTGTTTCTTGCACTGCCCATGCTTGTTCATCTTTATTTGGAAAACCTTTCTCCTCCTCACTCCCTGGCAAACTTCCACTTTCCCTTCCAGGTTTTATTTAACTCTTGTTTCCTCTATCTGGAAGCCCCCTCAGCAGTGCCTGCCCTCTGTGCCAAGTCTCCCAGTTATGTCTATTCTGGTATTTTCCAGATTAATGGACACAATTCTGGCTGACCCTTTCGATAGACTGCCAACTCCTGGAGAGCCCAGCAGAACAGGGAAGGTATTTCTGAATGATCAAATGATGGGCAAGCCTTTTGGACTTCTTTCAGAATTAAGCTCATGGGCTTTTGATCAGTGTTGAGAATCATGAGGCCCAGTGTGGTGGCTCACACCTGTAAACCCAGCACTTTGGGAAGCCCAGGTGGGAGGATTACTTGAGCCTAGGGGTTCAAGGCCAGCCTGGGCAACATAGGGAGACCCTGTCTATACAAAAATGACGACAAAAAAAAAAAAAAAAGGAGTTAGATAAAATCTGGGCTCCTAGAGATTTGCTCTTGGTTGAAAGTGGGCCAGATATGTGAATTCTTACATCCTTAAAGTTCAAGGTAGCAGTTACCACCCATTTTTGGAGGACATTTCAAAGGAATCAGACAATTAGCTTGTTTCTTAAGGAATTCTGAGAAAAGAGAAAACAAAACTATAATTTCTGTGTAAGTGTCACTGGGCAAACAGGTGTAACATATAGGTCTGGCTCAAGTATGAATAGGTAGGAGAGAATTACAAATTTTTTATGAGCTCTGAAGTTGCAGTAACTTATTTACGTAGATGATAGAGCTCTAATGGATTTGAAGGGTGGAAGTAGAAGTAAAATGTCATACTAGGAGCCTCATAGAATTAAAGAATGCAAGAGCTAGAAGTGGCCTTACAGATCAATGACTAGTTCAAAATTATGAGTCAGTGATAACATTTTCACTGGTCCACAGAAAATTGAGATACATTTGGATAATCTGCTACTTATTTTTTCATAGTATTGGTTCCAAGTGATATTATATATATTTTTTAAAGTTATATAAATTCAATATAAAGAATTGTTCTTTATTCTGAGATTAAATTTTTCTGCACTTTTGTGGTACTAAAATATTCTTTTTTTTTTTTTTGAGACGAAGCCTCGCTCTGTCACCCAGGCTGGAGTGCAGTAGTGTGATCTTGGCTCACCACAACCTCCGCCTCCCGGGTTCAAGCAATTCTCCTGCCTCGGCCTCCTGAGTAGCTGAAATTACAAGCATGCACCACCACGCCTGGCTAAATTTTTTTGTATTTTTAGTAGAGACGGGGTTTCACCATATTGGGCAGGCTGGTCTCAAACTCCAGACCTTATGATCTGCCTGCCTCGGCCTCCCAAAGTGCTGGGATTACAGTACCGGAGTCACTGTGCCTGGCCCTAAATAATGAAAAGATGGTGATTACAAATGGTAGTTTGGTCTTTTTGGGTTTTTTTTTGTTGTGGTGGTTGTTTTTTTAAAAACAACTATTCAATATATAATACATATATTCCCAATTAGTTTTTTTTTTTTTCAGATAGGGTCTTGCTCTGTTGCCCAGGGTGAAGTGCAGCAGAGATCATGGCTCACCACAGCCTCCAACTCCTGGGCTCGAGAGATCCTCCTGCTTCAGCCACTTGAGTAGTTGCGACCCCAGGTGCATGTTATGACGCCTGGCTAATTTTTGTCAATTTTTTGTTGAGATGGGATCTCACTGTGTTGCACAGTCTGGTCTCAAACTCCTGGGCTCAAGTGATCCTCCTCTGCCTCAGCCTCCCAAAGTGCTGGCATTACAGGTGTGAGCAACCACATCCAGAGAATGCAAATTTTATACGGCCCATTAGAGTGCATATTAAGCCCTACTGTGCTTTGCCACAATGACGTTTTACAATCATGTAAAATAACTTGGCTTTTACAGGGCCTTTAAAAGCATAAATTATGCGTTGTTGTGATTTTCATCTGATCAAAACTCAACCGGATAGCATAAGAAGATTTTATAAATATACACAAATAAATATATACTTATTTCATAAGCTCCACTTATAAACTCATTGGTTCACTTTCTTCCTTATTAGTCATTAAACAGCAGCCACTACTATTTTTTCCTTGCAGTTCACAACATATAGTTCTAAGGCAATAATTTTGCCTCTAGGACCAGATGGGCCAGCTTACTCATGCCCTTCTGTTGAGTCATGTAAATATCACAAGATGACACATGCTACCAAGTCAAACAGAAAAGCCTTTAAAACTCAGCCCTGAAGCCAGGAAAATATTCAAAAATTGTGATGCCAAAAATTTTAGCCAATTGATCTCAACTTTTCATTATTATTCCTATTAGTTTCGTAGTCACTGTATTTATGGGAGTTCCTAATGCCTGCTGTTAACTGAAGTTGCTATTTGGTATGCAGATTCACATGCTTACCTTTCTTGTAAAAAGTTTGAACTAGCAGGTAGAAACTCAATCCACTGAAGAGGCCAAAGTGGCTGGGCAGTAGTGGCTCACGCCTGTATTCCCAGCACTCTGGGAGGCTGAGGTGGGCAGACTGCTTGAGTCCAGGATTTTGAGACCAGCCTGGGCAACCTAGTAAAACACTGTCTCTACTAAAAATACAATGGGCATGGTGGCGTGTGCCTGTGGTCCCAGCTACTCAGGAGGTGGAGGTGGGAGAATCACCTGAGTCCGGGAAGGTTGAGGCTTCAGTGACTCGAGATCCTGCCATTTTTTTTTCTTTTTTTTTCATTCTTCTATTCCGGGGATCAAGAGATCCTGCCATTGTACTCCAGCCTGGGCAACAGAGTGAGACCCTGTCCTCCCGCCACCAAAAAAAAGCCAAACTAAAACAAAAGCTGTTACCTAATGTAAGAAGGTATCCAGTAAATTTATTTAATTTTTTTTTACTTTAAAATAATTTTTTTTGCATTAAAAAAATTTAATCTTAAAAAAAATAAGACAGGGTCTTACCATGTTGCCCAGGCTCAACATGGTCTCAAACTCCTGGCCTCAAGTGATCCGCCCGCCTTGGCCTCCCAAAGTGCTGGGATTACAAGCATGAGCCATGGCACCCAGCCCCAGTAAAGTATTATCTTACTCACCATTTTTTCTAAATTTTGAAATAATTTTAGACTTATAGAAAAGTGGTAAAAACTCTATATCCCTGTCCCAGCTTTCCCTCATGTTAACATTTTATATAAACACAGTACAAATATCAAAACTAAGAATTATCACTGGAATAATTCTATTAACTAAACATAGACTTCATTAAGATTTTGCCACTTTCTCCACGAATGTCCTTTCTTGACCTCGAGAGCCAATTCATGATCCCACATAACACAAAAAGGTTAAATTCACAAACCTGTAGGAATCAGGGTTTCATCCACAGGCAAATACGTATCCGCTTCTATGGTGACTTCATGGTCATATATATTCGGAGAACCCTGGGAGGAAAAGGGAGGAGAAAAGGTTTTCTGCTTAGTCTTATTTCATATATTTGCTTTTTTTTTTTTTTTTTGAGACGGAGTTTCGCTCTTGTTACCCAGGCTGGAGTGCAATGGCG